TGCCTCGGGCTTCCTGTAGTCAGCCGCTGGTCAGTTTCAGCAGCGGCTGAATCGGGGACACCTGGGATACAATATGTACCAGTTCCGACTTACATACAAATTCATCTTAAGTACAAACCTACAGTCCCTATCTTGTACGTAACCCGGGGACTGCCTGTACTCTTAGGACAGGCTTCAGTCACTAGCAAGAGAGGCAATAAGATGAGAGTACCTCAGCACAAAATCTCTACAGAAAGGTTGTTCTAATGTAAATGGTAAATGAGGAACTTGGTTGACATAGGACTTTGCCATAAGAGAGTCGTCTGTTTCATTTCTCATTTGGGGCCTGCAACACCAACAAGACATAGCTGGTAAAATCCTTGCTTTTTATATTTCAGAAAAGCAAGCAGTTGATGCATTTAGATCTGAAGAAAATACCTGCTTCCTCTGAATCAAAGATAAAATATATAGTTCAGCTTTAACACTGCAGTAATACTATTGTAACTTCTGAGACCATTACTATAGTGGATTTTTATGCCCAAAGATGGAGGAGTTTGGTAGGCTTAACACAGAAATTCCTTTGCAGTGTTCTCACATCCCAGCTTGACTTTGATTTATGGATTTATTTTTTGTTTGGTGATGCATGAGAGACTGAAAGCATTAAAAAAAAACTTTTCTCTTTGAGTTCTTAAGTAAAATTACAATGGGATTTTACCAGCATCTTCCAAATCAAATGAAAATGCAAGCAAATTTGACACTTGTTAAGACAAAACAAATGTAAAATGGTATTACGTTAAGTTCACATCTTAACACTTATAGTTATATATTGTTTCTTATGCAAGACATTTCCATTGACCATCTGTAATGTCTGAGGCTAATTTGGAGAGAATCTAATTTAAAGTAGAGCTACTAAGCAGTTCTCTGATCTAAAGATGATACATGCTGCTATAACCTATCCATTCTAATTCAGTTTTATTTCTGTAAATATGCATTGTGAATTAGGAAACTCTGAAAGAATATGAGATAATGGATTCCAACCAATAAAAAAGTTTGAATAGTGATACCTTGTCCAAAAAGGCTTAGAGAAGGAAAGTGGTTAGGAGGAAATGCAGAAACAAGTACAGTAGGAAGAGTGGTGATGGCTATTAGGTCATGTCTACACTATGTGCCAGATTGACGGGCAGTGAATGATCCAGTGGGGGTTGATTTTATCACATCTAGTACAGATGTGATAAATTGACTGCTGAACGCTCTCCCATTGACTCTGGTACTCCACCAGAACAAAGCGCATAAGCGGAATTGACATGAGAGCATCAGCTGTCAAATTATGCAGTAAAGACACACCATGCTAAGTAAATCTCAATATATTTTTATTCCCATAGCTGAAGTTGTGCAACTTAGATCGAAGGCCTGTGATAATGTAGACTAGACCTCAGAATCTGGAGCCAGTTTAGCTTTAATATAATGACTGGATAAAGTGAATTCTTCCATGCTTTTGAGAATAGACTGCCTTCTCAAAGGTAATTCTGGCATGTTACTCATTGACAAAGAAATTGTGCTACCAGATGTCAGTTTGATTTTATAAACACTGTTGTATTTTAAGTTTTTGTGTTGTCTTTATTTAAACTCTTATTTGAAAACATTTACAAACCTTGGGTCATATGGTAATGTATTTTCTGAGAACAATCCAAAGTTAAAACTCATTTAAGATTCAATCAGTAATTAGAATAAATTTGTTTTAATTAAAAAAATATGTTGTTTCAGGTCAACATATCTCAGGCAGACATGCAGGCTATTGGAAATACTATCACTATGGTAACACAAGATGGCACCACCATCACAGTTCCTGCCCATGATGCTGTCATTTCTTCTGCTGGAACGCATTCTGTTGCAATGGTAACTGCAGAGGGCACTGAAGGACAGCAGGTAAAATGTTTTTCTCCATACCTGTTATCATCAGTCAGAATTGGGGTCATCCCAATGGGATCCTGACAGGTCCTCTACTCCATCAGTGATAAACTTTGGGCTGCATACATGCATCTGTTCCCTGTCTAGTGCATTATCCATGTGCAATTAGTTAACACAACAGATTCCCGAGAGAGCCCCCAGAGACACAAATCAGATAAGGACTGAAAGCAGCTGTGTAGGTTTATTGCCAAGTGACATACAATAATAGTTGTCAGCGAACAGACTCACTGCTGCACCACTACACCTTATGTAAGTAGTGACAATGAACTAACAGCCAACTTAGCACTCTGGATTTGAGTGCCCTTTCCCCCCCGCCTCCCCATGGTCAGTTGATGATCACCCTTTGGGGTGCACTTCTATACACAGGTAAAAACAAGTTACACATCACTCCTGACGTATTGGGTTGCCACCCTCTGTTGCCTAGTTACTACCCCTTACCTCACAGAAGGGGGGTTTACTTACTATCCATCATGCTGTCAATTTAAACCTGGTCTTGAATCTATGTCAGTATGTATGTTATTTCTGGGGTGTATGTTGGTACCAAAATACTTCTTGCTGAGGTATTCTGTTATGACCCATCTGGAAAGTGCTCACAGCCTGTTCCTAGCACCTCTTAAATTCTGAGTGTTTCTGTAATATCAGCCCTGTTCTTGCCAATTTCTGTGAGCCAGGACCTTCCTCTTGCTCACAGTTTAACTTTGCTAATATAAAGCAAAGTATTGACCATTGCTGTCTAGGCCTCAGGCCTCATACCTGGCCTGTGATACATGGGCTTATGGTTCAGACCTTCATCTTACTACACCTTGGGGGGAACCTTTATGGTTTCATGGTTTCTTTAAGGTTGGTTTGCTTCCTCTTTTGCTTCCCACCAGTGAAATAAAGTCTAACCCTCATTATCTAACATATTGACATAGATAAAGACACTTGAAGTATTATCTGCTTCTTCTTTGAGTGACTAGCCAATAGCCCGTCATAAGACAGGATTTCCAGGTCTCTCCTCCACGTCCTATTCCCTTTCTATCTTGTTCTTCTCTCCTGAGCCTCCGGTCTCTTGCTCTCTCTCTCTCCCTCTCTCCTCCCTCCTATTGCCTCCCCCACTCTCTCTCAGCTCTCCTCCGCCTCCTGCCTCTCTCTCCATCTCTTTCTTTCTCTTCTCCTCCTCCTGCCTCTCTCTCTCTCCACTCTCCTCCGCCTCCTCTCGGTGTCCTCTGCTCTCCTCTGTCTCCGTCGGGGATGCACGCTCGTCCAGGCCCCACCCCATGGTCATGTACGTCACCGCCTTGCCCCCTTCCTCTCCCGCCATGGCGCTTGGCTGACTTCTGCGCCGTTCAACCAGGCCGCCACGGGGGAGCAAGCGGTATACGCAGCTGTTTGGGCTCCGCACTCCCCATGCAGCACAGGCTGCCCATAGGGAACAGCCAGCATTTCATCAACAGCGCCTCCCAGAGGGAACAGCCAGCATTTTGGGCAACAAACAGCCAGCATTTCATTATTACAGACTCTCAGACACTGGGCTACTATATATATGATATCCCTGTGAGTTCTTCACTTCAGGTGTCCTTGTGCTGGCAATTGAAGATTTTTGCTAGCAGTATTCGGTCACATCACGCATAAGTGGTAGCAGTCTTGTGGTGCCCTTGGTGCTCATGATGTGCCCCCTCTGTTTCTTCTCTGCCATTCTCACTGCAGACGGAGCTGTCTGACAGTGATGACTTATCCTCTCTAGAAGAAAAACAGAGAGAAAAAGTTCATTACTTTCCACACCTTTACTCTTAATTCCCCGGATCTTGGACAAAATTTTGAAGGAGAAAGTAGTTAGAGACATTGAGGCTAATGGCAATTGGGACAAATTACAACATGGTTTTACAAAAGGTAGATCGTGCCAAACCAACCTGATCTCCTTTTTTGAGAAAGTAACAGATTTTTTAGATAAAGGAAATGCAGTGGATCTAATCTACCTCGACTTTAGTAAGGCATTTGATACAGTACCACATGGGGAATTATTGGTTAAATTGGAAAAGATAGGGATTAATATGAAAGTTGAGAGGTGGATAAGCAACTGGTTAAAGGGGAGACTACAGCGGGTCATACTGAAAGGTGAACTGTCAGGTTGGAGGAAGGTTAATAGCGGAGTTCCTCAGGGATCAGTTTTGGGGCCAATTTTATTTAATCTTTTTATCGCTGACCTTGGCACCAAAAGTGGAAGTGTCCTGATAAAATTTGCAGGTGACACAAAGTTGGGAGGTATTGCCAATTCAGAAAAGGATCGGGATATCATACAGGAAGATCTGGATGATCTTGTAAATTGGAGTGATAACAATAGGATGAAATTTCATAGTGAGAAGGGTAAGGTTATGCATTTAGGGATTAATAACAAGAATTTTAGTTTTAAGCTGGGGACACATCCGTTGGAAGTAACGGAGAGGGAGAAGGACCTCGGAGGCCTGGTTGATTATAGGATGACTACGAGCCGCCATTGTGACATGGCCGTGAAAAAGGCTAATACGATCTTGGGATGTCTTAGGCAAGGTATTTCCAATAGGGATAAGGAGGTGTTAGTGCTATTATACAAGGCATTGGTGAGACCCCATTTGGAATACTGTGTGCAGTTCTGGTCTCCCATGTTTAAGAAGGATGAATTCAAACTGGAACAGGTACAAAGAAGGGCCACTAGGATGATCCGAGGAATGGTAAACCTGTCTTATGAACTGGCTAGTAGGAAGTTTAGACTTGAGATTAGACAAAGGTTTGTAACCATTAGAGGAGTGAGGTTCTGGAACGGCCTTCCAAGGGAAGTAGCGGGGGCAAAATATCTATGTGGCTTCAAGATTAAACTAGATGGTTTTATGAAGGGGATGGTTTGATGAGATAACATGATCTTGGTAACTAATTGACCATTATCAGTGGTAAATAGGTCAATGGAGGGATGATAGGAGTTACTATAGAGAACTTTCTGGGTGTCTGGGTGGTGAGTCTTGCCCACATGCTCAGGGTTTAGCTGATCGCCATATTTGGGGTTGGGAAGGAATTTTCCTCCAGAGTAGATTGGCAGAGGCCCTGGAGGTTTTTTACCTTCCTCTGTAGCATGGGGTACAGATCACACCTGGAGGATTCTCTTCATCTTGGGGTCTTCAAAGTATTTGAAGGCTTCAATATCTGAGATATAGGTGAGAGGATTATTCTAGGGAGGGGTGGATGAGATTCTGTGGCCTGCACTGTGCAGGGGGTCAGACTAGATGATCATAATGGTCCCTTCTGACCTTAAAGTCTATGAGTCTATGAGTTTTAAAAAATATTTTTTTTTCTTCTTCCAGCTTTTGACTTAATCCTTTAGAGTAGTGATGCTTTCTAATGTTTCCTTAACACCCAACAATAGACACTATGCTAGGTTCCCCCACCTCAAGAAGTGTGACTCATGCCATGAAGCCATGCTGGTCTCTGACTGCCATTCTTCATGGGCCCAGTGCCTAGGAGAAGTCCATATTCTCCAAAAATGCCTGCATTGCAATAATCTCAAGGCCAGGGTGGCACGACACAGGGAACTCTGGCTAAAGATTATTCTCACGGAGAAATAACTACAGCCTTCTGAGGAGGCTCCGTTACAGACTCTCACAAAAATACCAGCAAGGCTCAGTCTTCTATCACTTACAAGAAGTGAACCTCACCCTCTCCTGCTTGGGACTCTCACAAAAGGAGAGCTTCCCCAGTAAGACTGCTGCCCTCTGTGCCAAGCTTGTCTATAGTCAGCACCATTGAGTCCCCAGGCACTACTGGTACAGCATGGACATCTGCCGATCCTAAACATGCTGACTGAGCTAAGACAACACCAACCCTGAGATCCAGCAGCGAAGTCTGCACAGTCAGAAATGCCAGCACTAATGCAAACTACAGTGCTGGCAGGCAGATCCAACACAGCACCAACTCCAGCTGCTAATACACAACAGTGAATGGACATCACGGTTACTTTAGTACTGCAGTCTTCCCCTCATCAGCACTAACTAATCACCTAGCCGCAAATCTGATCTGCCTCCTCTCTCCTGCTTCCTTTCTCCATACACAGTGATGTGGAAGTAGGCGGACATAATAACTGCTTCTCCCAGCACTGGACACAAAGGAGACCTCCATGGAGGGCTCCATCAAACCTAAGACCACTCACACTAGCCCTGTGTAACCATGGTAACCCGTGTAACCACCACCTTCCCCTATGCAGTGGCCAGCCTCAAACCCTTGGACTAGTTACTAATACCGTTACACTATCCCATCCTCCCCAGTATGATGAGCCATCGGGTCACTCCCATCTGACCCACATGATATGGTGTATGACATTCTAGATGACCAGATGCAGGATGAGGAGGATAATGGTCCCACTGACAAAGAGAATATCTCCCCAGTCAACAATTCCTCCTTCTCACCAGATGAAGTGGTCACACCATCCATGCCTACACCCGTTGATGACCTCAAACAGTTTCAAGAACTGTTTGAGAGTGGCCACTTAAACTTCTTCGAGTGGTTACTCATGTCCATTCGAATGAGGTGCATGCACACCACCTGCAAGATTCTCGGAGCGTTTTCCATAGCGATACCTGTGGCGCTGGCAGGTGGCCCCCTGGAGTGGCGCCGCTATAGAGGAGCATAAGTACCCCTGCCGGCGCTCCCCCTCCTCAGTTCCTTCTTACCTCCCGCCACAGTTGTTGGAGTGTTTCTATCTCTCAAGATCAGCAAGTGTTGTTGTTTGCCCATTGGCAGTTTAGTCTTCGTTGTTTGTTAATAGTTGTAGTCGTTAGGTATTTAGTTACGTCTTTGTAGTTTTTCCCCTTTTTCCCCTTCAGTGGTGGGGAATGCCAGGCCCACACGGCTTTAAGCCTTGTGCATCCTGTGCAAAATTCATGCCTAAGGGAGACCCCCACGACGCATGTTTAAAGCATCTGAGAGAGTCCCACTTCGCAGACGCTTGTAAA